CATCGTTTTTAAGTTTAAATATTCTTACATTTTGAAAAGAGTTTCTTTTTTTTTTGTTTGTTTTCAAATACTTTGAAAAATTTCAAGTCCTCTTTCCATCTCATAAAGCCATTTGTTCTTACAATATCCCTGCTTAACTCTCCTTAGTGTTAACGGAATTGTGCTCACTTGCCAAGGAGAACAGACAATTTAACTCTGCTGGGAGGATTTCCTTTCCAGGCTTTGGTTCCAGGCAAGCATGTATAATGTTGAGTGACCTTTTGCTCCAGACTACTCAGCCTATTGTACAGAGGCTTCCTTTTCTTGGATGTAGCAAAGAAGAGTTCAGGCTTCAAATCTTTGGGGTAGAGCATCAGAAATTTGCCAAAAGAAAAACCCTAAAGATCTTTAGAGCCAGAGAATCAACATGGTTAATAGTACCATGCCTTTTTCCAAAATTACCTCCCTTGACACTTGAGCTATCCAAAGATAATTGCAGAAGGCCTTTCAAGTGTCACATTTGGGGAGGTGTAAATAAATAGGGATACAGGAAAGACAGAAACGTGATTTAAGTAAAGAAAATAATGAAAAGAAACTCATGTTGATGAATATAATTAGTCACTCATTTGACTATATACTTATTTGATGTTTCTGGTTTAAGACCTCTTAGTGAGAATGTTTGCACGATTTCCCTGTACAGGTGATAAAATCAGTTCAACAAACACCATCCCCAAGGCTAAGAAAACATTTCTGAGTACTGTGATTGCGTTCAGACTGTTTCTCATTGAGCTAAGAGATTATGCTGCCATTGTGTGCCTGTGTGTATGCACATATGTATGTGTATGTGTAAGTAAACCCTCATCCTGAAACTAAACATGTAATTTTGAAATATTGGAAGGATATATATATATATATATATATATATATATATATATATCAGAGTCACTGCATGAATCATGTCAAAGTCAAAGTGGAAAGAGATATATTAAAAGATGCCTTAAATGTCTGTGCTAAAAAACATCAAAATTTATACCAAATTCCTAAAGAAAGTCTGAAATAAAAACAGATTAATTTTAGAATTCAATTAGCTAAAACATCGAATTTTTTCAGGTCATAGAAAATGTAATTCTTAAAATAAAAGATCTGGAATATATAACCATGTAAATCTTTAACTCCTTGATGTGTGTAAATGATTATTCAGGCTCTCACTCAAAATAAAGCAATGACACTGAAATATAGGTGGAAAACAAATTCTGTAACATTGTGAATAACGTTGCCACTTTTGTCTTTTTGTTTTTCATTATTTAATTTAAATACCGATACTAATTTATTCTCTCTGTATAAAAATATTGTTAAATATCTCTTTATTCAATTAAGAGAAAGAAAACAAAAATATCTCTAAAGATAAACATCATTTTGTAATAAATTTAATTTAGGTTTAATTTGTGAACAGAAACATTACAATGTGCATTTGGTTAAGGGCCTGTGATTTAATTACAAACCATGAATGTCTGGGATATAAGAAAGAGAATGAACAGGTTATGAGTTTTTAAACTAAATTTTCTTTTGGTACTTTAAATTTGTCTTTGCGTATGATTTTATATTAGTACTCCAAACTATTTCAGCTACTATTTGTGTTACTTATGAATTTTCAATCCCATCCTCCAAGAAAATCAGATTTCAGAAGTTCTTCCACAGTCAATATCATCCAACATAAATTTATAATCAAGGATTCAGTCCAGAAACACATCCAAATTCTGAGCAAATAAAGTATCTCTTCCCTAAAATGTTCTCACTTTTCAAATCACTGTATTCATCTTCATATATTATCTCCACTATGAAAAATATCAGTGTGCTTTCAAAAAAGATTTTTACTCTTGCAAAATTATTGAGATGTCATCTGAAAATCAACAGTAGGTTTGGTGACATAATTACTCTAATTTCCAAAAGCCAGGCATTTAAAAGTGTGGAGCTATGTGTTTTTCTGATAGTACAGTTCAGGTTTGATAATTGGTGTAATCAGAGACCAGTGGTACCAAGGCTGCTTACTTACCTAAACTGAAGTGTAAGCTAGGTCCATGGTAAGAAACACTCATTTAACCATCAAATTTGAGTAATCAATTTGCATGAGCTGTTGTTTTTAGATTTTCCCTGCCCCTCCATGCACTAAAATGCAGAACCATCTAGGTTCTTACTCCTTCACTTTGCAAAGGACAAGTCACAAAACAAGTAACAAAGAATGCTCAGAAAATAAAAGAACTATCATTATCCAACATAGAATTGCCACTTATTATATGTATGCGGCTTATGTGTTTCTGCAGTTTTAAAAATTATATCACTAAAGCGATATAGCACTGAAATAAAGATGTTTGAGATTAAGGATATAGGACCTTGCAATGAAAATACAGACTTCAAAAGCCAGTATTCACTTTCTGATTCAAAGTTTGTGAAATAAACTTTACTTTTTGTAAACAGCATGTACTTTTTAACATAAATATTCTCTAACTTGAGAAATCTCATAACTCTCTGTTATAAGATTATGATGCATTTATCAATTATTGTTTGCAACAGAACAGATACCTGTCATTTTAGGGAATTTTCTATCTATAACTAGAAGCCTTGTAGCTTTCCTCTTATTGTATTTTTATTATTATTTAGATTTTGTGGGAATATTTTGCTGTATTTACATATGTACAACTTTCGGTGCTCAGGAAAAGTAAGCAATCAGGAGCTTCAATTTGACATCTTAAGAATCTTCCTGTATTCTTATTATCCTGCGATTGTGTTCAGAGCTTGAGAATTTAAAATGAAAAAAAAAAAAAAAGAAAAAGAAAACCCTCATACTAGCAATCACCATTTTTTCCTGTAATCAAGTCCATACTTCTTTTCATATTCTTTTGTTGGATTGCTTTTCTCTGTTTATTGCTGTTGCTAAACAAGGTGAGAGTTTAGGTGACATTTTTCAATGATGACTTCTTTTGCAATAACAAAATCTTAAATGCAGTCTCTCTTTTCCTCCTGCTATGTGCTATCAAATTCATCTTTGTATGGGAGGCACAAACTAAAATGAGTAAATTGCCCTTAGTAGGTAGTACTCTTTTCCTGACACTAGGAAGTAAATTGTCAAAGAGTTACACGGGGTTTTAGCTGCATGATTCCCATTGACTTTAATGTGAGTTGCAAGGAAAACACCCCATGCAAAGCTTAGAAAAGTATGGGGTTAGTTTTCTTTATGGGCTCCACTGTATTTTGTACCCTCTAACCTGAGCACTCTTACCTGACTCACTTCTCTGTTCTCCTTTTTCTTTGTACCTTATCCCTCAAAGGATATAAAACTTAAATCTCTCCATGCAATGATCTCTGTACCTAGCTAGTCAGCACACTCCACCTCCATCACTAATTAATTACACAGCGTTGTAAGCAAACCTCTCATTCTCTAAATCTCTCAGTTCCAAACCATTCACTATTGTCCAGTGTGTGTGAATAAGTAGGAAAATTTTTTCATATTTTATAAAATATTATTGTATTAAATGGGTAATTTGAAACATCAACCATATTTCAAATAACATCAAAATTGTCTAAACTATACTGTTATTTTAGTCTTTTAAATGCCAATTAATTTTATCACTGTCATTATTTAACTCTTCTATATTTTTAGTTATTTCCTGAAAGTGTACATAAAGCATAAGTACGTAAACTTCTTGGAAATGCTTCAGGCATTACACAGCAGTGATTATAGCCACTTAAATAGCAGTTAGCTAAAGTGCTTTATAAGACAACCAGTGAATAACATAATAGATACCATGATGTTAGTTCCTGGCAGAATGGGTACATGATTCTCTCATGTCTGAGGAATGAAGTATACCCTTGTCAATGTAGTAGAGACAGGCATCCTGCAATTGCCTGATGTCAGTCTCATATAATACACAGTAACACACACACACACACACACACACACACACACAGACACACACACACACACACACACACATACACAAGCACACACCCCATGGTATCATTCTAATTCTCTAGGAAGTTTTGATTGTGAAGAAAACCAAACCAGGCTAGCTTTGAGCTAGATTTTTATGAGTGTTTGGTTCTGTATAGAATACACAAAAGGCCCAATCTTCGTGCCTACCACTTTTTTCATTACGGTGGCATTAATTACAAACTAAGATGCCAAGTAATTGGCAAGGAAACACTACTTGCTTATTTATCAGATACCTTTATCCTATGTGTCTGGCATCTCTCCTTACTGCACTTTTATAATAGATTATGCGGGCAGCACCGTACAGAGTAAAGGGTCTTTCCTTTGCACATTTATAACTCAACTTACCTTAAGCTCTTTGTCTTATTGCAAATCATTTCAGTAAGAAAAGATTTGCAGCCAGCCAAGATATTAATCAACACATCATACACAGACACATAAAATCTAAAACAAAGCAAAGAGTACATTCTGCTAAAAGCAAAAGGTTTACTACCAAAATGTTTCCCAGTTTATTCTTGTACCTATGGATTCATTATTTCTCTAAAACAATGTAGGACCTTGCCATAAAACGCCAGACGTATCAAGCAAATATCTTAAAATCTTCTCTATAGTCAAGATACCTCCAAAATGAACGAGGACATATTTTTCTCAATTTGTTGTCTTATTTGCACCCAGTTAATATCAATTACTACTGCTCTATCTCTATGTTGATCATGACAAAAGATATGTTTTTCATAAAATAACACATTTGGACATAATAAGGAGAACCTTCGTTCCCATCTTCCCCGTTGCAGAATAGCACGTCTCGTGCTGTACAGGCGCAGTTGGCTGTCCAAGGACCCTGGTGCCAAATTGCGGAGGATATTCTTGTCGCTGTGACAAATTGCTTGCTGGTGGGCTGTGCAGAGTGTTGTTCTGGCAGCATCGGAGTTGTCTACGTGTCTGTCACTTGGTTAGGCTGCTTCAGTGCTAGGTGATTCCACCCCACTCCCCACCCCTTCCCTTTTTTCTTCAATGCAGTTTTCGGACTTACCTTTGCTTCCAATGAATGGGGGCTTTCGCACTCATTTGACAGTGAGCCTATGGAAATGCTCCCCAAGCTCTCCGCACAGGTATCTGTAGGGTGAGAGAAGAATTTTTTTCACAGTGCCATACTTGTTTTCCATACAAACCTACAGGCTGCCATTCTAGCCACCCACATTCTGGTTGGCAATGCACTTATGCAGTGAGCGCTTTAATGAATCCAGACAAAACTGCACAGTGTTCCTGACACACAGCAAAATCATGCATTTTAATGATATTGCAGGCTAATTTATTTGTTTCATCTATAAAATATTAATGGTCAATGCTGTTTGACAGCATTTCAGTGAAGAGATTATTTTGCATTTAATCCAATACTTAGTTTTAAAATTAAAAATACTCCTTTTATAACTTTTTTATATTAAGTATGTTTCTTCAATGAGAATCTGGTTTTAAAAAAGCCAAAACATAAACGAGTACAAAATGCTCAGTAAACAAATTAGCTTGTAAACATACTACAGGAAATCCCAACAGTGTCTGTTGACTACCTCTGAAAGTATGTAATTTTATGCCTCCAGATAATTTATGGGTAAAGTCTAAGCATCTGACATTTTGAGATAAATAATAAATAACGTCTCCATTTCATTATGAAGTTTATAATTAAGTATAAACAGAAAAACATTTTAAAGTATAGCGATGTAGAATATTTTAAAGTTGCTTTTTGAAGCTGAAAAGGGAAATGCAATGAATACAAAATATATGAGACACATTTTTTTCTATAGTAAATCTTACTCCTGAAAGATATTGTGTAATATTGGTACATTTTTAAGACTCGAGCATGTAGGAAAGAAGTTAATGGACTTTTTTCACGAAAGACAATATACAATGGGATAATTCTAAAAGGAAATGAACAGGCTTTTAATCTTGTGAAGAAAATGTTTGTTTTTCTTCCTCTTATATATAAATGTACTTACTGGCTTTATTGTACAAGTTGTAGTCCTGAATTAAGTGGACTGTAAAGCTTTCCTAAATACTTTGTATGAATCTGTTAAGTGAGATTTGCTTTTAAAGAAATTGACTTAATTTTTCTCATATATACATAAATACTAGCACTTGAAGAGCAACTAAAAGCTATTTAAGTAGTTCACCTCTGAGGGCACATAGGTAAAATTTTCAGCCCAGGTGACATTTGAATTAGTTTGTTTTCATTGTGATTACTGATAGGACTTGAGTCAGCACTCTAATCTGGATGAAAAGTTCTGAAGGTAAATTAATCAAATTGTCTTTCCCTGATAATTTTCCATGTAATTTTATTCTCTAAAACCTGGTTTCACAAATTTTCTAACTCTCATCACTTAGTAACACCCAGTATGAGGCTACTGATCCTAAGATTGCTAAGGTCTTCTAAGAATGCCTGTTAGTTCTACACTGTTGTCCCTGAAGTGGTTAAAGCTTTGTTTGTTTGTTTTGTTCTAAAAGGCTCTTAATGGATTAAGCTTTAGGCTTTAACCAAAGCAGTAACTGATTGTTAAAGTAGGAAAGAATAAACTAACTGCAGTGTGTGTGTGTGTGTGTGTGTGTGTGTGTGTGTGTGTGTGCATATGCATAAACAAGTGCACTGCCACAGCAAACTAAATTATGGTCTTGAAGTTCTGAAACTTATTACAAATATATGTTAAATAAAATATTTCTTACAGTATATCTTTAAAAAGCCTAACCCATGTAAGTTGCCACAAATTATGATAACTGATATCTACCATGGATTAACTCTACTTAACAAGAATAAGTGAATTAAACTATATGATGACCTACAGTTATTGAGATAGATAATATTAATCATAGTTGCAGAAACCCATTTTACTATGAAATTAACATGTGATATGTTTTGATCCTAGAAGTGCTTTTCATAGCATTACCAATAACACTCAATTGGTGATTCCAAGTTATATAAACCTTTAAAACTATCACTGAGATATTAAGGAATATATATGCACTTGACTTCATAATATTATGCTACATTTCTAGACTTGTATAATTAGGTTTTGGCTTAAGTGTGATATTAAGTAGAGGATTAATGAGTTGACAACTAAAGAAACACCCATATCTGGAGAAACAGATGGAAATGCATGAATTTATATGACTAATATAGTGCCAGCTCCTCTATAAGAAGAGGACTTTATTCAAAGTCCCAATACCAATGCATGATGATGCCAAGAGCTAAACATTCCAATCAAAAAGTGATATTTCACTGTACAACTCTCTTACTATGTGTATGGACAAAATGGTGTGGATTATGTTCAAATTATTCTTACAGTTTTCCAGGAATGGTGTCCAGGACTATTATTGAGTATCTGTAAGCTACTGAAAAGGTGTTGAGTCCACCTCCACCACAGCATGGCTAGTGGCTCCTGAATATGCTACAAAGTAAATGTAATTTCTTTTCACTGGGAAAATCGCAAAAGTCAAGAAAAAAATGAACTTAAAAAAAATGGCCTCTACTTCAACTTCAAATGTCCCAAGATTCATTAGACTCTCAGGGATGATAATCATTTGGAAGAGTTTCAATATGATTGTTCCAGAAAGATATAGCATAACATCTGGGCCTCTGTGAATGTCATACATGGTGTATTTCATTTCAGAAATAAACCATGTTAGCATTCAGTTACTTTAACTGTGAGAAATATGTCTTTATATTGCTTCTGGATTTTTAGAACATGAATATCACTCCACACTTGCACGAGTGCAAACGAAGTTTTACTTCTTAGAACATTAATTTGATTCACTAAATCACATGCATAAAAAGCAGCAAAAACTTCTACTCAATACATATTGCAGACAAAAGATCTGAAATTTTGGAGGAACTTTCTAATTTCCACCTCATACTTGTAATAAATGCAATGAATTGCATTGAAAAGGTGACTGTATTACAGAGAATATGTATGCTTCAAATGAAGGTGCATTTAGCGTATAGAAAGAATGATCAGTTCCACTATGTGCCTTTGTAATTTTCAAAATTCCATGTAAAGTGCTGGTATTCTGATGACAGAATTAACTGCCACTATAACTTCAGGGCCTGACATTAAGAGAGAGGATTTCAAGGGGTGCAATAAAAAGAGGGCAATTTTTCCCTTTGCATGCAATATTGTAAAATTAGGATGGGGAAAGTGCTACAAAACCTAGATGAATACTCCCAAGGAATGATTAATTTGCTAATTGTATGACACCCCAAAAGTCAAATGTAGTTAATACTTATATAAGAAAAGATAATGCACTTACAAAAATCCTTTCCTGAGGCATTGTACCAAAATAAAGGCAGCAAGGGGCGGTTATGAAGGAGTTTTTTTTTTTCCTCTTTCTTTCCCTTTTTAGATCTGGAAGACCTCTAACTGACCTACTACAATTCTGTTCCATTTCAAAAGGAAAACAAACATGCAATGTATGTAATGGCTAAGTGTCTCTTTTTGGCAATGCCTATGTCTCTAATTTTCTTTTTCTTTTCTTTTCTTTCTTTTTTTTTTTTTTTTTTTTTTTTTTTTTTTCTTTTTCCTTTTTATCGGTACCGGGGATCGAACTCACGACTGCCTTGCTTTCAAGGCAGGTGCTTATGCCGCTGAGCTAAACCCCCAGCCCCTCTAATTTTATTTTTTAATATCCCCTCATTTCACTTTCCATGTTGTTGTTTCATCTTTATTGCTTATATTGACACTGCCCTGGTCCATATTCTCGTACACTAATGCTTCTTAAATCTCCTCTTCTGCCACTCCTTTGGCACAGAGAAAGGAGGAGGGACATTGGGAAAGGACATGGCCTAAGATAGACCCTAATCTCCCCTGTTTATACCAAAAGGGAGGAAACTCTATAGAGTTTGAATGAAAAGCTTTGGCTTCTGCTATAGGCTTGGATACACAGGTTGGAAATAGTGTTTGTTGATCTAGCTGAACCATTAAAAAATCATCATGAGAGTGTAGTTCTGGAAACTGAGGCACTTAGACCATACCAGGTTCACTAAATGGAAACTTCCTAAATCAGGTTAACTTTTCTGACACATGGGCCTCTAAACGCCCACATTTGCACAGACTCTTTTAAAGAACTGGACTATGATGACTTCTTTTTTAATTTCAAGAAGCAAAAGACTCTGGCATATCAACATTACTCCACCGAATATCAGAAGGACTTCGAATTTTGGAATAAAGCACCAAAGATTTCAGGACAGATGACCAAAGAATTACTCTCAATAATTTGTTTCAAATAACACATCGGAAAATGAAACACAATTTTAAAGCATTTTAAAAGTATAATTCTCTAAGTTTTCATTAGTTTCTAACAAAAAGGAGATATAAAATTGGAAGTAAATTATAAAAGAATTAAGGTTAAAATTGTAAATGCAGTCTACATCTGATATATGGTTCTTATAAAAGAAGTTAAGGAAAGATGAAGAAGTTTATAAAAATGCACTTGATTTTTAAATCATACGAATGATAGTCATAGAAATAAGCTATAGTGGTTTAAAAATATTTGAATAAGAGCTTTCTCTTCACTGATTTGGACTATGAAATATCGGGAAGAAATTTCAATGGCGATATTTAGCTTTATGTTTACATCCAAGTTTTGGTATATCATTTGTTCCTCTAGATTTTGAATGAAAATGCTTATTTTCTTCCAACAGATTCCACAGAATTATCTCTTTATATTTACTGTATTTAAATTCTATTTAAAATACTAAAATTATGTCAACATTTCAAATGATCCATAGTAATACAAGTTATTTTCACCTTTCAGGGTATGTATATGCTACTTTTTAAATAAAATTCTGCTGATGTTAGTAGGGATATTTTTATACTTAGAATACAGATAGACCACACACACACACACACACACACACACACACACACACACACACACATATATATAGTCTCTCTGTCTCTCTGTCTCTCTGTCTCTCTGTCTCTCTCTCTGTCTCTCTCTCTCTCTGTCTCTCTCTCTCTCTCCCTCCCTCTCTGTTGCTCGCTCTTTCTCTCTCCCCCCACCATAGGAAGAGTGGGGAGCTTAAGAGAATAACATGTGCATGGAATTCGTCTTAGCCTTTGGTTGAATGTCTACAGGCTTTACATTCCTAACTGTATATGATTATTTTTAATTTTTAAGTAATTTTGAGTCAGAGGACTTAATTTTTCATAGTTGGACTTAATCACCAGCT